CACAATACCCAGAAGTGGATCTTCTATCAATAGGAGAACCTGCCCAATCAGCATCTGAGTATCCTACAACTTTGGTATGACCTTTGTTTTCATAGAGAAGACCTTTGCCAGAAGCAGTCTTGATGTACTTAAGGATACTGATTACTGCATTCCAGTCATCTTCACAGGGAGAATTCAAGAGCTGACTTACTACACTGACTGCAAAGGAAATGTCTAGTCGAGTAACTGTGAGATAGTTTAGTTTCCCAACCAATCTTCTATACCTTTATGGATCAGAAAATAGCTCCCCCTGATTTGGCAAAAGCTTGACATTTGGATCCATAGGAGTATCGACAGGCTTAGCATTCAACACTGCTGTCTCCTCAAGAATATCCATAGCATATTTTCTCTGTGATAGTACAATGCCATCTTTGGATTGGGCCACTTCTATCCCTAAGAAATATCGGAGTCTTCCAAGGTCCTTTGTTTGAAAATGATGGCACAAATGTTGTTTTATCTGAGTTATTCCATGAGTATCATTACCTGTAATGACGATATCATCAACATATACTACCAAATAAATAGAACCTAAATCAAAGTGTCTATAAAAGACTGAGTGATCAGCCTCACTTCGAGTCATGCCAAACTGCTGTACAACAGTGCTAAACCTTCCAAACCAAGCCCGGGGAGACTGCTTGAGACCATACAAGGATTTTTGGAGACGACAAACTAGGTTAGACTCCCCCTGAGCAACAAACCCAGGAGGTTTCTCCATATAAACCTCTTCCCGTAGATCATCATGGAGGAAAGCATTCTTTATGTCCAGCTGATACATAGGCCAGTGAGGAATGGCTGCCATAGTAATAAAGAGGCGAACAAAAGTCATTTTCGCCACGGGAGAAAATGTGTCACCATAGTCAAGGCCAAATACCTGAGTATAACCTTTAGCCACCAAGCGGGCATTGAGACGGTCCACCTGACCATCAGGACCAACTTTGACCGTGTATATCCATCGACAGCCAACAACAGACTTCCCAGAGGGAAGGAGAACTAGATCCCATGTACCACTGCTCTGAAGTGCACTCATCTCATCAATCATGGCTTGTCGCCATCCAGAATGTGATAACGCCTCACCTGTAGTCTTAGGAACAGATACAGAAGAAAGAGAAGAGAGGCAAGCAAAATGGGATGGTGAAAGACGATGATAACTCAAATTTATTAAATACCTGGGAGGGGGACGAGAATCACGAGTAACTTTCCAGAGTGCAATGGGTACATCAATGTCAGACGGAAGGATCAGAGCTGCCGGAGGAGATGATGACGGAAGTGAGTCCACAGGAGCCTCAGTAACAATAGGGGCAAGGTCTTGGGGGGCAGGGTCCTGGAGAACAAGTGGACGTTACGATGATAGACTTGGAGGGGGGAACAGGGGCGGGAACAGGGACGGGGACATCTAAAGAAGGAGATGGGGAATGTATATATTGAACTGAAACAGGGAATAAAGGTAGCTGAGTAGCAACAGAATCACTGGGAAAGGAGGAGGAGTCAAAGAATTGGATAGACTCAAAGAATGTAACATCCGCTGAGACAAAGTAACGACGAAGACTGGGAGAGTAACAACGATAACCCTTTTGTGAGCGAGGGTAACCCAGGAAAATACATTTATGTGACTTAGCAGATAACTTGTCAAGACCAGCACTGAGATTGTGGACAAAACAAGTAGAACCAAATATGTGAGGAGTGAGTGGGTACAAAGGTTGATGGGGAAACAACACAGAATGTGGTACCTGGTTATTAAGTACGGAGGAAGGCATGCGATTAATGAGATAACAAGCTGTGAGGACAGCATCGCCCTAATACTGGAAGGGGATATGACCATGTAACAAAAGTGTCCGAGTAGTTTCAATTAGGTGACGGTTCTTGCGTTCAGCAACCCCATTTTGTTGAGGGGTGTGTGAACATGATGTCTGGTGAAGGATGCCGTGAGCTGCAAAGAAGGTTTGAAACTGATGAGACAAATATTCGCGAGCATTATCACTTTGAAAAATGCGAATCGAAACACCAAATTGAGTAAGGATTTCATTAAAGAATTTGTTGAAAATAGAAAACAATTCAAACCGATTTTTCATTAAAAATAACCAAGTATATCGAGAATAATCATCAATGAAAGTTACAAAATATTTGTACCCCATAGTGGAAACGGTACGACTAGGACCCCAAATATCTGAATGAACTAAAGCAAAAGGAGACGAAGACTGACACGATCAGAAAACGGACTACGAGTGTGCTTTCCTAACTGACATGACTCACAAGACAAACTAGATAAATTTGAGAAACATGGGACCATCTTCTGGAGCTTAGCAAGACTTGGAAGACCCAACTGAGCGTGGATAGTAAGCGGAGAATCCACAACAGAGCACATTGGGACAGAAGTCGAAAGCTGATAAAGGCCATTGGACTCAGATCCGACGCCAAGTGTCCTCCTCGAGCTCCAATCCTGCAAAATGACAGACTCTTTAGTGAAAGAAATAATATAGTCAAGGGATTGAGTCAAGAGACTAATGGAAATAAGGTTGAAAGGAGAATTAGGAATATAAAGCACATTCTTAATAGGAATAGAAGGAAAAAGGAGAACAGTGCCAATCCCTTGGGACGGAACCAGTGACCCATTAGCCATAGTGATATTGGGCAGGGGACCAGACGTACAGAGAGAGGTGAATAAAGACTTATTACCAGAAATATGGTCAGATGCACCAGAATCGAGAATCCATGGACCAAGAGAGGGCGAGTGAGAAACACCAGCAAAGGAATTACCCGTGTGTGCACCAGAGGCAGTGGTACCAGGAGGACGCTTCCCTTCATACCATTGCAAGAAGTCAGTGAGAACAGACAGAGGTGGCTATGGTCCAACAATCAAATTAGAGTCCGAGGCAGGAGCAACACTCTGAGCAAAATGAGCAGAGCGAGGAGGGCGACCGTGAAGATCCCAGCAACGATCAATAGTATGGTCCGGCTTGTTGCAATGAGTGCAGAGAAAGCATCTTGTAGAGGGTTTTCGTCCACGTGCATAACCTTTGGAGACAAGGGCAGATGGGTCAATTGAAGAGGGAGCAGATACTGCAGGCTCCATAGTAGACTTCGGTGGAATTTGAAGCAATGTAGACCAAACAGAGTCCAGGGAGGGAACAGTAGGAGAGCCCAAGATCTGATCCCGGTTGACAGAGTACTCCGACGGCAAGCCATAAAGAGCCATGAGCATGAAGAATGTGCTGCATTGCTCAAGTTCCTTAACAGGGTCTGCAGCAGGCGGCAAAAGTTCATTGAAATCATGAAGGATACCCTGAACTTTTCCCAAATAAGCAGACATAGAGACATCAAGGTGTTCAGCAGCAATAGTAGTGATCAAATTTTGACAAACACCATAGAGTCGCTGAGTGTCATTGGTATAAAGTGACTTGGCCTGACGCCAAACAGACTCACAAGTGACATGAGCACGGAAAATTTGCTTCAACGGCGAGTGGATGGTAGACTTGATGATGCTACATAACTGAGCATCAACCTTCTTCAATGAGGGCGTACATCTACCGAGATGGACTCAGCCTTAGTAATGAGATGGTCAGTATAATCCTGTCCATCAAGCCAAAGTCGGAGATCAGAAGCCCAAGAATCATAATTGGTGCCATCCAACTTGTCGACGTGCAATAGAACATTAACATAATTGGAAAAAATAGGCGTGTCATTCTTTTGAGAACCCTTGGATGCATCGTGGAGTGACGAATCAGCCATAGTTCACCTGAAACAAAAATGAACAGCAACGAGAAGCAAAGGAACACGCGTGAACAGTAACCAACAAGAGAAAAGACACTGTAGGAAGCCGAAACGAAGTCGTAACAACAAAGCGAGGGCAGATCCAAGTGCGCAAGAAGGAGACGAGGTGAACCGTGGTGGTCGGAAGTCCAGCCGGAGCTTCACGCTCCTCCACGCGCCGCTGCAAGGGAGCGGACTGCAGCGACTTTCTCACGCGCGTGGCTGAGTTGTCGGCGGTGGGTCCTGGACAGAAAGGACCGCCTGGTTGAGACGATTCGAACGGTGGGGGTTTCGTCGAAAAACTCGTCGGAGACGGCGGTCAACGATGGTTTCTGACAGCGAGAGAGTTCCGATAGGTTCTTAGATGAGAGAAGGAAGCCAGAAACGGACAGATATGACGGTTTCTGAAAAAAAAAAAAAAAAAATTTACTCGACGGACAGTGGTCCACCGAAAAGATGCGGATTAGGATTCCTCTTGTTAGGCTCTAGATACCATGTTAACTATCAGAAATACAAGAGGCATTTGACTGTAATCCTTGTGTCAACTACACGAAGGAGATTTCATTTATATATTAAACCAAATAAAAAATACAAAGACATATATACAATGTGGGACTTCTATACTATTTACAGCAACAGAAGGTTTAACTATATCAAAGATATGCAATTATTTTATTTCGCACTAAGTTGTCCCGATTTTGGAAGAATCTTATCTGTATATAAATAAAGGGATATATCTATCTACTGTGTTACAGGAACAAAAAATTTGGTCCCGCAAACACAAGCATAGAAGATAGAGAAGGTGGAAGCAAGAAAGAGAAAAAAAAAAACAATGGACCCCATTCAAATCTGTGTCTAGAGGAAATTTTTTGTTGTTGATGTCACATGATAGATATATATCCCATAATTAAGAGGGCTTTAGTGATAACAAAGCTCGTGGCGGGGAGAAACCGTGATCCATGATCATCATTTTCGTATATGAAATAGCGATTACATGCGCAAAAGATATAAACAACCTTAGTTTTGTTTTGGAAAACTTTTCATTATAACCCAACTTATATCAGAAACAGCCTAATTGTTCATTGCCTAAATTTCTCACATTGATATTTGAGAACAACTTTTGTCTTGTGAATTAGAAACAATTCTTTCGAGTGAAAAATAGTAAAATACCACAAATCTAACATCATGTATCAGCAAGACTTTTCCATCTTCTTTATTGCAACTTGCAAGTAACTACACACTGTTTTGTTTTACATTTTTTTAACTGGTTTACTACTAGAATACCATTTTACTTTGGCTTATCAGGAATCATCTTCAACTACGAGTCTAATACATTTGTGGAGTGCTAGTCAGCCAAGTCCTACCTAGAAAGTAGTAAGGTTTGAAGCAACATGCATGTCTACGTACAAGCAGCTTCAACAGCTAAACTCTTTGTCAATCCTTTACATGGATCTCCAAATGTATGAATTGATACTCCAATACTACAACTGCTTGATCCAATGCAGGCCTGTTAAAACTCATTAGTGTCAGTCTAATCCAAAATGAAAAAGATCTAAGTAACTAGACAAAAGGCATATGAACTTATTGAAAGAGGAATCTAGATAAAACCTTTTGCACAATGGATAGAGCACTATTGCTGCTGCAGCGTCCATGGTTGAACTTCCCACAAGTCCCATGAGGGGTTCCAAAACTTGCAAAGTTAATGGAAGAGATCACCTGATTAGGATAAGGGCACTCGAGTGATAATACAGGTCCTATTCTTCTTCCTGCTTCTGTATCTGAATTCCACATGTCTACAGGTGGAGGGTGAGATTCAGATACATGTGAACACACACTTCCTATCTGTTTTGTAGCAAAAGAGATTTGTGTAGGGTCGCCTCCACTTTCCTCAAACAATACAAGAGTGTTGCTATCTAGTTGCAACCATGATCGTGGTACATGGTATCTGCAGGATTAGTGACTCAAAATGAGTATCTAACAGGACTATTTTCAACTTCTCTCATCTATGATTATCTAACACTTACAATGTCTGTGATGGTTTTCCACAGTTCTTGAGACATTTGGATGAACTATAAGACCCTCTATAATTGCATGAGTCGGTACAACCACCATTTGAAGAGACATATGTAGGCCAGTATCGCCCAATGCTCTGTCCATTCACCCAAGCCACACCTTTTCCCATCCCAATGAAATCAATTGCAACTGGGTTACTGCCGGAGGGAGCAACAAAGTTTGTCTAACACAACATGTATTAACACAAGTTAGTAGCAAGATTATTTGTCCTATAGTAGCATTCCCTTAATTTTCTTTGAAGTATGCCATTGTAAATATATCATATGCAAACACAGCTAAGTAAAACTATAAAGAAGAAAGAGTCATAACAGAAGAAGGGGCCAGGAGGAGGTGAAGCATTTAAATGCGTATTACCACTGGATAAGTAATAACTGAAGTCATATTAAGCTATTTGAGTGTCATAAAGTCCAAAACTTTTCTATACAAAGTATATACATGTATACTACTAGGTTCAGACTAGATTGGGCCACAGCTTTGGACATTCCATATCATAACATAAAACCAAGTGAACCAAATAGGTGCAAGGAGACTTTGTCTGCTTATGCAGTCATAATAATGAGAGCACAATTAAGAAAAACTTGAGAATTTTAATATATGCTATATTCTTATAAAAATTACCTTGTACCAAGTCAATGGTTGATTCTTAGGTAAGGTAGATTGTGAATTCCATTGTCCAATACTTCCACTAGACAGACCTAAGTCTTCACCTTTAAGGCCAACCTGCATTCAGAGAAATACAGGTTGTATTCTATGACATCAATCTAAAAGGAAAAATGGAATCCAATTTATTTGAGTTGTATCTCTTCAGAAATAAAATAACAGGCTTTAAGTTGAGACTAACCTGATATGTCCATTGCTGGGAGGAGAGATCAATAGTACTGCCATTCTTCAAACCTTTCAATATCACTGGGCCAGTGATCCCCGCACCCCATGTGTCAAAAAAAGATCCATAGTTCTGATGTGTATAAGGTTCACATTAGCTGATGTAGTAATGAGAAATGACTTGATGATAAAGTTGTTAAAGAACCACTTCAATCCAAAACCTTAAGGTATTGGGTGATGACTTTTTTAATGATTTATATTCTTCTCTAACACACCACCTTTGAGCTAGAAGCGTGGATATTGCACAGGCACAATTTTTGGTTTACCTTTTGTGCTATTTTTTTATTTTTAATTCCACTTTAAAGTGGGGGGCGGTGAGGATCGAACTTGTGACCTTGTAGTCACTCAAGCTCTGATACCATGTTAATTATCAAAATACAAGAGGTATTGATTGTAATCCTTGTGGGGAGGAAATAACAAGCCAATGCATAGTACAAACAAAAATTGACTCTGCCCTAAATGCTTATATGTATTATGATCAGAAAAGATGAACCTGAAGTCCCACAGTTAAACTCAGGAGATCAATTGTGTTTTTTCCTGCCACAACTGTGATGGGGATGTCCACATTGACCTTAGCATTGCCACTGTTGCCTGTTCCACTCCCTGAAAAAGTTCTCGGTAATATCACAGATAAGTATTAATAGATAATTAATGAAATATTTAATTGAAAGAAAGAAGGAACTGAACATTTTAGGAAGGAAAAACCATGAACAATTGATTGATCTTTATTTCAAATCAACCTTGATTTTATTTTCCTACTTCCTTAAAGAGATCAAGTTTTGCTTGCTAAGAAATGCAAAAAATAACCATTATGTTTAAATTCCTCTTTTGAATATTTAATGAACCTAGAATTTGGTGATAGTTTTTCAACTGCTTCTGATAAAACTGGTGAGTAGTTGACTCAGGGAACTTCTTACTGAGTACCCAGTGTTATGCTTATTTGAGTGATTTGATCTAGGTTGTATAGATTTAAATGTTTAATGCTGCATACTTACGTGAAAGTTGAAATTTGGTATTTTGATCTGCAGCATGAATATTATGTTTTCAGGTCAATGATGTATCGTCTGTGGCAAGATAGAGTCTCATAGAGACACCATAAACCTTAATTATTTCACTTCTGACAACTTAATAGTGTTTGCCCATCAGAGCCCAGAGTTGCTTTAGGGTGGAAATCCAACTTGGACCAATCATAATGACAACCAAACATATGCTTAAATTTTGCTTCATTACAATGAAAGCCAAGACAAAGGTTTCTTTACTCCTCTTCAAAGTCTAACTTCATTTTGCAGCATTTTCAAATAAAAAGGCATCAAAGAGCCTGAGAGAGATAGGGTGGGGGAACGGACATGCTTTTTTCTTTTTCAGGCCTTAAAAATAAAACAATGCCAAGGACTTTAAAAAAGAACATATAGGGGCATCCAAAATATAGTGAAACCAAAAAACCTAAACGAATATTTAGGAATGACATGTATAACTCATAGACATAGGGTTATCAAGACATATCATCAGTTGTCATTGCTTTCAATTTTATTTACCTGCAAGCTTCCCATTAACGAAAGCATGAAGGGCATGACCAAGGGATTCAATGTGAAGGACAGTTTGAGCTCCAGCATCATCTTTAAGATCAATGCTTCAGAATAAAAAAAAAAATCATGAAAAGTGTTATCACGGGGAAGATAATTGCAGGTCAGAAGAATTGAAGAAAGCTTTCTCAACCTTGGAGTCCTATATACCTTAATGAGTACCACAAATAATCGCTTCTATCAGCTGTCGTATTTATTTGCTCTAGTAATCCAAATTTTGAGAATGAATCATTCTTTGAAATACCAATAGGTTCACTAATCCAACTCCACCCTGAGCTAGAATCTTCCAAAGAACCAACCTCTTCTTTTAAAGATTCAGTTGTGAAGCTTGAAATCATAGATGCAGAATTAATCTGCCATAAAAAAATATAACATTGGTTTATGCTACTTTTTGGACTATAAAATAAAAGAAAAGATCTCGACTACGGTTAGATTTATCACATGCACTATTAAAAGTAACTTCAGTCACTTTAACTATCTATTTTGATTGGGAAGCTGATGAGGCAAACCTTTGCAGTATTAAGCACTACATTCTTGCAGTCTGGTAAGATGCTCACAGACCATCCAGGCAAGTGATATGAATTGCCGTTAAAGGTTACCGTTGCATCAGACGAGGCGATGTTGGCAAGGAAGGCAACACATACAGCTCCTGTCTTGTAAACTGCAGCCTGGGATTGAATAGTAAATGTTAAAGAGATATAATAAAACTATTCATATGCTTTCACTTAACAATTTTAGCTTTTAGGATAATTAGTTCTAGACACGGTATAAGAGCCTCCTTAACCAAGTGATTAGGACTTTGATCCTTGTCCTTAACTATTCATTTTCCTTTCTCCAACAACTTAAGCTTTTGAGATAGTTCACTAAACGACATATATTATGTTCAGAGAAGAGACTTAGACTTCATAACAAGGATTTGCTATAAACAAAAGACTAGCATCAGCAGTATTTTTCCACAATCAATTAAAACTTAAAAGCAACACTCATAAAATTGAGAAGGAAGCAAGAAACAGAGAAACCTATAAGAAATTGACAATGATCCAGTGGACCAATAGGTAATTATTCCAAAATTTCGCGCACACAAGGCACTTTAAGGGACAGAAGCTTCAAATTTGATAAAATATGAGAAAGTTAATCCATAAATGCTAACCAAAATTTAGAAAGACCACTTATTACCTCTAGATTTGGACCAGGAGATGTAATTGTTGGATCAGTAGCTATCAGTGCTTCTTCACAAAGCTTTATGGCCTTATGCACATCTTTAAGGTGGCCCCACTTAGGCTGTCTAATAATTCCTGCATCATGCAATTTAGATATTTAAACCAAAGCACACGCAATATTGTTCATTATAATTTTTTTGTCTTCTACATATCAAATAAGCATATAATGTCGAGTTGCAATACTCTTTACTTATCTTGACTGCATATGGAAGCAAGTTTGACTAGTTTATATAATTCTACAGCATTGTAAACAAATAGACAATTTGAAAGTTGAAAGACTGCATACCATACTCATCAATTGGTGCATCATAATCATAACTAGTAGAAATGAAAGGTCCACCAGAACTCCGGTCAAAGTTGGTCCCTCCATGATACTGTTTCAGAGCAAACAAGCAAGAAAGTTGTGGTATCAGCTCGTTTCCTATCTTACATAGTTAATTTTGAGCTTAAACAACATGAAAGGTTCCATTACCATATAGTAATTTTGAAAAGTTCCACCTCGCTGGTAAAAACGTGCTACAGCAAATGCAAGATCTTCCACAGGTCTGTAAGGCACAGCACCACCAAATGAAAGAAACCTGAGGTTTCAAAGAATCCAAAAGGAGATAGTCAATCATCAGATCGAATTTTGAGTATGCCATTCAAATAAATAAATGACTTAAAGAGAAAAGGACGCTAACCATCCACTCCAATTCTCAGTCCACATTTTTGGTTTTTTGTTAGAGTTTGGTGTGAATTGATCGCAGTAAAATCCATTGCATGTGTTAATCTGTGAGAAATTAATGTAACACATTATGAAATTAACAATCAAGTAGGATGATTTGCAGACATCAGCATAGTAATATTGCTCTATTCAGGAAGATAGGCTAGACAATGGAGTAAAACATAAACTGAATAACACTTTATGTGGACAGATAAAAGGAGAAAACTTACAATTGGATCAGGAGCATCTGCTTGCTGACACATGACCCAGGGAACCCCAGTATCAAGAGATATTGCCATTGATGCTGCCCATTTGATGTAGGATTTAGCAGCAGGACCATATGGCCCATCAATGTTCCCATACTCATTTTCAATCTAGCATTAGAAAACAATAATTAATATTTTCATATTTCAAAAAAATGTAACAATAACTATGCTTCCATATCTAGATGCCATAATATCTCAAGAAAGAAACATTGTTTAATAAAATTTTAAGAAAAACCTGAGACAAAATAATTGGTCCTCCCTGTGACGCATAGAGGTTCTCTTGCTTCATCATATCCACAATCTTAGCAGTGAATCGCTGCATTTCTGCCTGAAGACAGTTCAACTTCAAAAAATAGCAAGAAGTATGTGTAACATGATGATGAGGCATAGAGAAAGGCAAGGAAGGATTACCTTGAACGGTTCATTATCAGTTCTGAACTGAATTCCAGGAATAAAATGCAGCCAAAGAGGGAAACCACTGTTCAGAAAAGTTAAAGCCAAGGATTAGATACCAACCTTCGTGTTAAAAGATACATAGAAAAGATCCAATTGTACCCATAGTTCCATTCAGCACATGCGTATGGACCAATCCGGAGATGCACATATAGACCTGCAGCTGCTACTGCCTTCACAAATTTCACCAAATCACCCCTTCCTTCAAAATTATACTGCAAGCCAAAGCATATAATCCATCATTGATTTGATAATATGACAATTGACACCAACTATACATCGTTTCCTATTTATGTCTTTTGATTGAAATTGAGAACAACTCTTCCCAATCTCACGATTTTTTAAATTTTAACTATACTGTTCATATTAACTCTGAAAAACGTGTGAAAGAAAGAATGATCTTTTAATATTTTCCTACTTCTGATTAGTGAAAAGCTGCATACCCTTCTTTTTTTTGGGACCCTCTGATATATATAGCGTGCGAGCTTGATTGCTCACTAAGTTTAAAAACTCACAGAATGCAATGCAATAGAGAGTGAAGGAAAAGAACATTATGAAAATGGTGACAGAAGAGAAGAGAACCTGGCCTCGAACTGGTTCATGTAAGTTCCAGAAAACATAGGTCTCAATCACATCAAGTCCTCCATCTTTGGATTTCTGAATAAGATCTGGCCACATCTAAAACAACAAACACTACCATTGTTAAGTTCAAACTTCAAATACAAAGTGAAGGATTGTGTATACACACACACACACACACACAGAGAGAGAGAGAGAGAGAGAGAGAGAGAGACCTCTGGAGTACTCCGAGGGTAATGAATTGAACCAGAGATTAAGACACGGTGCTTGCCATCGATGACCAATGCTCTGTGGTCGTAGGTAACATTGGCGCAAAACGAAGCTTGTGTATAAATGCTGAGGAACCAAAGCAAAACGAACAGAATCTGCGTTGCTTTCATTGCCTTTTTGGGTTTTCAAAAGCATAGAGAACGAACCAAAACAAGAAGGAAATGATTCACACTTTGTTTTTGCTTCTTGTATTTAAAGGCACAGGTTTTTCCTTAACACACTTATCTTGGAAGGAAATGACAAAAATGACTTCAGGAAACAGTTATAACAAAAGAAAATTAACATTAATAAAAAAACCTTAAATGGAGTTGCTTTCTTAGGACAAACAAAACAACCTTGCACGACAATGCCTAATGAGTTAGCTTTATCAGTTTATTGTGTCTTTTTTTTTTTTTTTTGACATGCGTGTAAGTGTAAGACGTTGTTGCTTGGTCGCTTTGTGCAAAGATAAGAATGGAAACAAAAGTAGTTGAAACTTGGAAATGATCATAAACTTGAAGAGTTGGAAGAGAATCAAATTGAAGGAAGAAGAGTGAAGACTAGTGTTAACGTAGGGGCCACGTGTCTTTCAATATTTTAATAATATAAAACTTGTCAGTGTCATCGTCGCCTTCCTCAGATTATGGTGTTGTCTTCTTCGAATGTTACTGAACTCACTTAGACACCGTCGTTATTTAAACATATAAAGAAGTGGAAAATATTTTCGGGTATGCAAACTCGATTTACCTTTGCTAAATATAAAAAAACACATTTTTATTTTATGATTATTTTCTTTCATATTTTTTTTATTTTTTGTTAAGAGAATACTTACTCCCCTTACATAAAAAATCTACTCAAAAGAAGTGTGAAGAATTTAGGGGGAATTTGGTACAGGAGAAATTTTTATTTGTCCGGGAATCTCAATTTTTAAAAATATGATTTTTACATTCAGTTTACGATAATATTTGAAAATTTAAAATTTAGAAAAATTCAGTTTCCCGAGAATCCGGCCAAATACCGCGTACCAAACGCCTCCTTGGTGTATTTTGAAGCAGGGAAATGATGATATGGTACCATGACAATGCTATTGCTATATGGTAATAAATGGGAACTGGATGTTGCGAGTCATGGGTACGTGGCATACGGTCACGAAACCAAGGTTACAGGAAATAGGAGATATTTTAGTATAAGAGTGGATAGTATTGTTAGTTGATGTTAACTGAGTTTAATATTTCGACTAACTCTTTTGAGATATAAAAATTACTTGAAGTGAATTTTATTTCTACCAACAAATATTTTTTCATATACACACTTAGGATTACATTTCTATCAGTATATTTAAGGGACTCACCTATTTATCAACTGTATCAAACTTTGTTGATGGGTTTAATATTTTTTCATGTTCTAACAGAAAAGAAAGAAAAGAAAATATTATTTTCACATATTTTTATATACGTGTAAGAAATAATTTTATCTTCTATAACATAAAAAATATTAAAGCCATTAACTTTTTTTTAAAAAAAATAAAATGAATTTTTGGGATAAGGTTGTTTTAGTTGTGACTCTCATACATTCAACCCAACCCATTACCCTGGAAGTTGGAACGACTTAAATTATGGGTTTTAACTTGGATTACTAATATTTTTTCTCTGTGACGTTACGTGATGAAAATATTTACGTATTTATCTCTTTTCTAATATTTTTTTGCCACAAAAAGTATCGTTGACAATGAAGAATTAATCATTAAATTATTGTCTATGCATTGTGACCTGAATAAATACTAATATTAAAATCCAAAAAATACTAATAGTGAAATGTGAATGTCAGGTTATTTTGTAATTATTTAATTGAATATTAATTATCAATTTTATGGATAAATATATTTGTATCAAATATTTTTTTTGTTAATTGTGATCTAAATTCATTATTTTTTAAATTGCAAAAACAGAAGCAAAATTACATAATATATTAAAAAATTATCCAACATGCCAAAATAAATTGAAATATTTTTTATTCTTTAAATTTCATTTACACAAGTAAATATCATAAAAAATAAAATAAAATCAATTTTCATAGTTTTAAAATCGAGTCATATGACTCTGCTAACTTCATAAAAATAACATTATTTAAAATTAATTTATTATGTAATTCAGAAAATTTCAAATAAAAAGTTTTTGCACGTATTAATTGATTCCGTTTCTTTTTTTGAAAAAAAGTTTAGACTTAAGAGAAGCTTTCTCCATTATACACTCAAAATAAATTATTAATTTTGGTGAGAAATTACAATGAAATTATATATAATTAAGTGTTATTAAAATTAGATCAGACCAGTCGATCTGATTAGTTCAATAGGAAATTGGGCCACCGTTGATCATAAATAATGCTTCTATTATTATATTTAATACATATTCTCTGTATCTCTACCAATTGATCACCCTGAGTTCAGTAACACTGATATAAATTATATAATCTTTGTTGTTCCGACTGAAAAAATGTACCAAGTTATCTCGAATTAATATTTCAATTGTTTAATATAAATATTAATATCTTGTTTTGTCACATTTGCTTTTATATTCTAGTTGTAATACATCGATTCTTTGGCATCCAAATAGTAATTTACTAATTTTAATTCGCATATATATATATATATATATAGTAAGAGGCATGATTTTTTGACACCAGTCTCAAATTTTAAATTTGACACCTCATCTGAGAGCCGTTAGATCAAAAAAGATCAACAACTCTGATTTGCAAATATATGACACCATTGATCTTTTTTTATCTAATGGCTCTCAGATGAGGTATCAAATTTAAAATTTGACACTAATGTCAAAGGATTTTACCTCATATAATAACGTGGTAATCGGATGCAACCTCCCTTAAATAATAAGTATTTCAGTTTTTTTTAATTAAAAATGTTTATTTGTTCTATTTTATGTCTGTCTTGCCAGATCTTGTAGCATAAAGACAGAAAAAAGAAGAAAAAAAACACATGGCCAATCGCCTATTCAAGATCTTGGATCAGGAGCATCACAATTTTGTTCAAGTTGAATGGTTAATCATAGGTACACCATTTTATTTTTATTGAGCTTAATTTTGTTCACCACGATAGGAAAGATATGAAATCCTGAATGATTAAATTAATGTCCTTCAGATATTGCAGATAATATACCCTAGATATTTGTTTATGAAGTAAATAAATATAGCCTAGGTATTTATCAAAAAAATACAATAAAACTTATTGGGTGATTTTTTTTAATGGAGGGACACTAGTTGATGTCATGCTTTATGATAAGGTGTCATATGGACTAACGCCTCTATAAGAGGCTGAGATGTAAATGAATTAGGTTGGCCTACAGAAATATATGACTTAGTTTATATTAGGTCAAATTTAACCTATTATAATTAATAAAATAGAATAGATATAGGCTTTTAAGAAAAGGATTCTAGGCATGGGAGGCAGTGTGAATGATGCATCAACCAACCAAGCCACCACGATTTCCATGAAATCTGTGTTTTGAATGACCCAACCACCGCTAGTACTAATCCGATAAGATAATGGTCTAAGAAATATCAACCATATGATAATACACACTTCAAAATTCATAGACCACACACAGCAGGTCCAGGCCCGCAACCTCGCTTTCTCACATTTAGTTAACCAGGCAAATTGATAATGTTTCGTAGATATTTTGTCTATTACACAAGGATTAACAAAATAATCAAATACTGATAATTCAGTTGGTGTTAAAAAATTGAGCAGTTGAAGTTAGAGCATGTATTCAATATTATTCAGTATCATCTTTGAACAGGTTTAAAAATTTTAATTAAAACCGTTCCGAATCGGACTAATAGTAAAATTTAAATATTTCAAAAAAAGAAAAAACTAACAAAGTCGTACAAGAGGTATACTTTTTAATTTGACCACTTAAATGTGTGGTCCGAGGCAGGACGATAATAAATGATAACTACCTATTTATAACTCATTAATCAAAGTGTAATTATGGTATTAAATGCCAACTACTCCATTTTCAAATTCAAATCCCTTATTCTTAATTCACCATTATATATAAGCTCCATCACACACAAAGCAAGCAGAAGCAGCACAACTTATTTATGATTCATTAAATAAAGTATAATCTTGATATAATTGTTTACATTATTAATTCATTATTTAAGTACAAATTAATTATAATTATTTATAAATTAATTACTAAAAAAGGAGATAAGATATTCTACTTACTACTTTTTCTGCCTACCTTTACCTACCACTTTCCAACACAGTTAGATCAGAATCTCAAAAAGATAAAGAAATATAAATGCTATTTAAGATTCTAACCGAATGATGTTTTAGTATAGTATGGTAAGCAAAGATAGGCAGAAAAATAATTAAATCAAAATTTGCATGGAGATCTTGAGTTGACCTTGACTTGTCTATGTGTTACATGCATCCTATAAACTAATGTAATAAGAAAGAGGTTGCATAAAGGAAGTCTTAACACATCAGTTTGTATAATAGAACAACCTAAATTTATGCATGACTATCAACATAATACCATACTACCACTTCGGTATCGTTGTTCAATTGATAATTGGAGTGTCTTTTATAAGCATTTATCCCCACGTCGAATTCACAACCAAGCTTCATGTCTTGTACTCAGAAATTCGACTAATAGGTATAATATCTATCATTACATAACAACCTTGCCCAAGAGATGACATAAGGTATAGTTATGATAATACTCTTAATGCCGAATTTATTATAAATGGTCATTATTCTTTGATTTATCAATAAATGATGTCCGATTTATTGATAGTGATTCAATATTTTGGAAATGAGATTATTTAATTACGTATATTTATTAAATAAATAATATGAAATTTGTATGAAATATTCTTTTGATATATATTAATACTTGAATATTAAAAATATTGGTCAATACATATGATCAATTAGATAAACAATTAAATTCACAAGAATAAATAATTCATTGGTTGACGAAAAATTTATCAATCAATTATCGACATTTTATAAAAGATGAATATATATTTATGTTAGCAATATTATTAATCTTGAAATTCAACTTCGGATTTTTAATAGAGAAGCACCGAATGAGATGATCATTATTTTGTTGTCATAAAAAGCTTTAATTAATAATAAATAGAAAATCCTCAAGCTAGCTTAAGAAAATGAGTGAGAAAATTTTCAGTTGACGATAACTAATGAGTTACATGATCTTAAATTTTAGATTTAGTTTTGTATCAAGATCAAATGAGAGATTGTTGGGTTATACTCTTATTACTTAAAAGATTTTTGGTCTTTAACATATTAGAAGAGTCTAAGAAGACTTACAGTCATGTTTGATCCATATATATACCCAATTTAGTCACTTGAATCGTCATGCATTTTGAAATAAGATATAGTGCCTACACACTTTTCTCCCCTTTTGAGTCCTAACTCGAAAGATTTGACCATCCTGTAACC